CCTCTTACGAGCACTGAGGATGAGGGAAAGCTTTATGGAAAATATAATTTTTTACAAGTAGATATGAAAAGGCCTGGGTTTAGTTGATCTCATCTGGCAGAGATTTCCAAATCTGCTTTTCCTCAAAGAAAATGTTCCCTTTTTCTGTGCTATTGGTCAGTCTGTTGTATTCTCCCAGTGGAGAACTGAGTTGGAGGGATCAAATCAACCAAAATAGCTTGTGAGCTCCTAGCTTATTGCAAGCCTCGTATGTACAGGGCTTCATCAAACCCTGGGATGTTTCCGTGTGGTTTACTATGCTACAAAAATGTTGACTCTTTCAGGTTGAGATGGACATAGAGCCTGTATACTATTGTGAATCTCCTGTTGGGTAGCAGCAGTGATTGTAAGCAATCAAAAAGAAGTGATTTTTCAGTTACTAAGGATTGAAAATAGACGTGAGACACATGATTATAAAGCTCTCTAAGGATATTAAGATGATCATGTGGACAGATGGGTGAAGCTTTGGGACAAAGTTTTGGAAAGACAAGTGTGATAGAGAGAAATATGGAGTGACTGGTCTTTTCAGCTACTGGACCTGATATTATCATGGTTTAGACAGTTTGCATGAGGCAGGTACCCTGTCCCACACTGCTGGCTACTCAAGATTGGACAGGAGAAGCTTTTTGTTTGAGCAAGCAGAGACTACCCCAAAATGGGATCCATTTTCCTCAATGTTGCGAGACTGTTGTGCCACACATCCTCTGTTATTCTAGTGGAAACTGTACAGGCAGATCATGGAATACCTGCTAGGCAAATGCTTGACAGCAGGAACTTTTTCAGCTGGACCTCTATTTTTGTATAGCAAATAAGCTTAACAGGATGGCTGCAGCTGTCAGTGCTGAAAAGTTTTATATTTTTTTGGTTTTGGCTTTTTTTAAGGCATCAGAAGTATGATCACCAACTTGTCACTTCAGCTTCCTGTACAGCTCTGCCCATCTCATTGCTCTGTTTGCCAGTGCATGTGTATACAGGCTGCAGAGGGGAGTTTGGTCTGGTCCCACAGTGCCCTCTCAGCCCCTTCCCTGGTTACGCTTAGTACATGGAGTTGCACTTGCAAGAAGGAGCAGACTGAGACACGTGGGTTGCCTGGAAATAAGGAAACATCTGGAAATCAGGAAACAGCAGAAGGTGCTGAAAAAGGAACAAATTCTGAAGGATGAGACAATGCAGCTAAGGAAAGGTTAGAGGAAGGCAGGGAGGAGCTAGGAGTGTGCAGTGCTGTTGGGGGAGTGCCGGCAGCCCAGGATGCAGGCCCTGAATGCGGACGAGACAGCAGCCTCCTGCAGCGTGGAGCTGACTCTTGTGTAAGAGCTCTTCAATGCATGCACAGTTAAAAATAAAAGGTGTTTGTACAGCATTGACTCTCCGCGTGCTAACATGAGGAAGAATGCAAATAGAGGTGTGAGCAACAAGGAGGAGGCAGTTTAATGGCTTTGGGGATTAGCAGCGGTATTTAGAGCCTTTCACCTCTCTGTTCCTAACATAAATCTTAACACAGATTGATGGTTTTGGCCATCTGGTTTGTGTTTGCTTGTATGCAACGACTAGTGAGACAGAGAAAGAACCTGACCAGCAAGGCAAAAGAAAAAAGAAAAAGTATATAACAGAAGAAGGCATCCTCTTCTCCAGTGTCAGTAAGAGCAGGTATGGTGCAATGACTCTGTTTCACAGAGCTCGACAGGTAACAAGGGAGAGGGGAATGAAAGAGCAACAGGCATCACTTGGTACCTGACCCTACCAGGGAGTCTATAACTTATACAAATGTGTATGCTCCGAGCAACTTGCTCCCAAATGAAAAGCTCTGTGATCTTTAGAGATATAGTTACCCCAGATAGCATGAGTGTTAGAGGGCGAGTTTCAATCATAAGTTGACTCTCAACTGTAAATTATTTTATACTTGACTGGAAACTGTTCTCCCATAGATCACCTGTCTAATACCTTAATTTTATATACTATAGCTCAACTTATAAGCTGGAAAATTTTGCGCTCTGAACCATATGACACATTTTGGATTATATGGCTTCCTTGCATGCTAAGCCTTCTAAATACTGATGTGAGTTTTCTTGGGTGTGGGCTGACCCTTGGAGGAAGCCTCTGTTAGTTTTCCTCTCACTCCACGCTGCAAGGTCTGTCATTCCTTTTCCAGCAAGGTCATCTCGGTAGAGCTTCCCAAAATCCAGGGCTTTAATGGGGAAGCCATGTGAAAGGTCACTGTTCGGCTTCTCCAGCCAAAAGAGTAACCAAGAGTTGGTACATGCATGCACACACTATAGCATGTTTTCCTAGTCAATTATTTTTCAACAGGTCTTGAGTAAAGGTTGAGAGTTACAGAGGACCTCACCTCCATTCTTTCAAATGGGGGAGTTTGGACGAGAAATACTGATGGTACATCTTTAAGGAAATGTTTATTGGTGTCAAAGATTCGCTCTTGGGTTCTGTGGTTTTACTTAATTTTGCTTTGGGATTGACTGTCTGTGGTGCATATTTCAAACCAAAGCAAAGCTCTAGAAGGCTTCCTCTATATGGGGTAAAAAAAAAATCTATAGGGAACATAAAAAATCCAAAACGTAGGTATTACAAATCTCATTTATAGCAATCTTGGCACTGATTTTGCTTTATATTAGGCATGTAGAGCTTCAGTAAAAAATATTTTTACTTGCTTTTACTTCTTCAGAACCAGTAACAAAGAAACTGCCTGTAATATCATTCTGCTGCAGGGAAAGTAAATGAATTTTGGATATAGATTTCTACAATACTGTTTTTTATCCCAAATAATTGGTTTTGGCATAGACCTCTGTCAACTAAGCATGGTGTTTATCACTTCAGCCAGCCACACCAAGGTCAGTGAAAGAGACCGATTTATATTTGACAGGGAAGCACTTCCACCAGATGCATTAATAGTGTGAGAGTAAGAATTATAGACACATGAAGTGGCTGGGGAGTGCTGTGTGCCAAAGGGAAACTCAGATTCAGATCTAGATTGGGGTAGAATTTTCAAAGGCTCCACAATGACCTAGAGATCATGTCACCCAGTGGTTGGGAGACCAACTCCCATTTTAGAAATGATGTAAGGACTTTACTGCCTTTCAGCAAGACTTAGGTTCCTTTTCCCAGAAAAAACAGCCTTTAATCCACAATTAGTTCACAAAAGCGGTTTTTGCCTCTTCATAATTATATTGCATAATGACTTCACTACTTTTTAATAACATCAGATTTCTTGTCTGTGTCCATTATCACTAGCTTAGAAGCTATTCTGTTGCTTTGGGAATTTCATATTCCAAGTCACTTACAGAACTATAATTAAGAACTTCCGCAGAAGACGAGGTGATTATATATATGTTAAGATATTATATTCTGCTGACTTAGTGTCAAGTCTTAGATTAATTTGAAATTTTATCATGCTGGTTTCATTATAAACACTTCCATGGAAAGAACATGTTATTGAAAACTGAATAATTAATAATGTCTGTGTTAACCAAATGTTTTCTGAGTGGTTTGTTGAAAAATGTCAGGACTTCAGTTGAAAATCCTGGCTCCAAGTCAATGGCAGAATCTCTATTGGCTTTAACAAGATCTTTCATTTTCTTATCTCAAAAATTACTTGTCAAAGCTCCTTAAAGTTTCTGGATACAAATTTATATTTGTACAGTAGGGGTCCATGTGCCTTTTTGATCTCCAGAACAATTGTTTGCAGAATAAGGAGAAAGGAGGTAAATGTACAGTGACTTTTCAGTTCTGATCCTTTGGGCTAGACTAAAGCGCGCTTGAGAGAAACCTGCTGTCGTTTAGTGGCTTCTGAAAGTCCTGTCCTCCAGATCATGTGTGAATGAGGTGGAAGGAGGAGAAGGATGAATACAGAATCATCTACTGTAGATTCACAAGGATCCATTAAAATTCTCACACTCATGATTTTAATGCTAATGGCAAACATAGTTCCCAGTGGAGGCCTCTCTTATTAACCAATTGTTATGTCCTCATGCTACTTAAAATAAGGTTTCAGGCTCCAAATCTTGATGAAAGCAGAGCTTCATCCTCATGGTGTGTGTCACAGCATTTGGACCTCAGTGGAATTTATAGTGTAAAGATCTGACCCTGTAAATTAGGACCTAAATACTGCTGTTAGTTTCCATTACCATTGATCGTAATATTGCAAAACTCCCTTGGGTTCAAATGGTGGTCATAATATGCACAAGTTTGAAAGATGTTAAGCTTTAGACAGAAATTGTAGGCTTGCTACAGAATTTGCACATGCCTAAATCCCTTTGAAAGGGTATAAATGTGGTCTATAGGAATTAGGAACACAGCTGACATAAACTTCTGTGGTCAATGAGCTCTCCATTAGATGATTAAGGCTCTGGAACATTGAATTGCTGAGATGTTAACTAAGGCTAATAATTTTTTTTTTCCTCATCAAAACAACTTGTAGTAAGAAATTCCTTTGTTACTGAAATGCAACTTTTTGCAAAAGGAATCTGCTTTCTTCATGTATCATGTTAATAATTACAAGTGTTCAATTCTTGGCTAGCCCAAGTTTGGTCTTAAACCAAAGTCCTGTCTGGCAAATTTATAGTAACTTCTTTATGTGGTATGATTTTTGGATAACTAGTTCTCTTCTTAAAATAGCCAGTTGCTCCCAGGAAACAAAGCAAACTGAAACTTGACAAGTAAACCAAAAACTCTGCTAGCAAAAAGAGAGCAATTTCATTTTATAAAAGTCATAATTTGCAGAATTCTGTAAATTATTTAGAATTTTATTCCCTGTCTTTATTGCTTGCATTTCCTGTATCTGGTAGTAACAGTCTAGTATCAAAACCTTCTTCTCCCATCCACCTCCAGATCTCACTGCAAAATGTCAAATGGGAGGAGGCAAACTAAGATATGGGCAATTTGAAACATGGAAACATTTTAGATGTTTCCTGGTATTCTTATTAATAATTTTATTTCTATTTTTTTGACAGATGATGCTAATGAAGAAGGGACTGAGCTGAGTGAAGAGACAGGTGAGTAAACAATATTTTATGCTAAAATATATCATTTCTCCAAATCATCAACTGAACTGAAAGAATTCTTGAAACTAATTGGCTTGGTTGTGATAAGCAGTGCTGGTTGTTTATTGCCAATGTTACCACAGTTACCTCTGTTTTTTAACATCACATAGGGTAAACCATCCCTGATAATAAACACTACATGGTAAGAATGACTGAGACTACCTTTTTAATGTCATCAACTGTTATGAGCCTCTGGGTGATACTTGGTTGCTTTTTATTGATAACTAATTTGAACATGAATGGGAAATAATTAAAATTCTGCGGTCTGTTTGCCTGTAAAGAAGGTGTGAATACAGCAATTCTTGAGTCATTTGCAATTCTGATTAGTGGCCATGATTTGTTTGCAATGAAAATGGTAGCAAAACTCTTAAATACACTGAACTTGATTGGACAGTATTTCAGAGGACTTTTTTCCTGGTCCTCCTAGTTTACTGTTTAAAACAAGTGTCAATGTTTAGGGTTTGTGGATGTGGATAGACTTGAAATGGAAATGATGGATAGGTATAAAGGAAAGAAAGACCTAAGGAACAAGAAAAGGAGAGGACAGAGGATTAGGTATCTCCCATGAGGACAAAAGCTTCCAGTCAGAAGACTTCTGCTAGTTTTCTATAGAGATCTTTATCTACATAATCTTCTTGATCAGGCTTTTTGTAACAGGCTTCCACCACAGCACCCTGTGTTACTTTCCCTGCTGACCTTCACCTAGAGGTTCTCAGTGGACATCTCCTGTACCATAAGAGACCTCCTTTTCTGTGCAGCGTAGCTCCCCCTACTCTTCTTCTCTGCCTCTCCTTCCTAACCAGCTAGTATCCATCCGTGACAGTGCACCAGGCATGTGCACTGTCCCCCAGGTCTCTGTGACACTGATCCCATCATAGCCCGGTGACTGTGCAGAAACTTCCAGTTCTTCTCTTTACGAAAAGATACAGGATCAGAAAGGAGAGCCACATGGAGAAAGGCAGATAAATACCAGCCAGAAAACAGAGGTAAAAGCTTTTGAAGCAGTATCTTGGCTGCTTAAATTGGCAAGATTGTCCTAAAGACAAATGGATTGTGCTGATTTACGCAACCAGTTAATTAGCCTAGAAATTAGAAATACTTGAAGAATGGTGTATATGTATAGATGTGAAAACATGGATATACACAGATAGATATGTGTTACACTGATGGATTAGCACATTCTTTTATGGCTGTTCTGGCCTGTTGATTTTATTACATATAATTACTTTTTGGTGTCAAGATTACTGGATAGGAACTTTTACAAATTTTAATACAATTAGTGTGATTGATATAGTTGTACATACATACATAAAAGTAGAAAAATAAAGACCGTCATTATACAACAAACATTTGCTGAAGATTATCCTACTGTTGAATTTGCAGTATTAATCTAAAATATCCAATTTCATTTTTTACAGTTATCATAGCATGTATACTTTTATAAGCCCAATTATTTTGCATTTTTTATCTTGTTGCTTTTATGGACATTATGCAAATTACATTGGGTTGTTTGGTTTTTTTAAGCTTTTTAAATTGGAATTAAAAGGAAGTACATTTCCACTTAATAGCTGGTGTCTTCTTTCTTGCCTTGTATCCTTCACAGTTTCATTAATTTAAGTGAAGCTACATAGCTGCTCTGGAAGTTATCACTGAATTAAGTAATTTGAGGAAGGTATTTCCCTACTTGTCTGTTTCTTTGTGCATACAAGATAGATGAGATCATAGCTTCCCTCACAGGTTTGCCTGTAGGGTGCTATGAGCTTCAACAGCATGTACTTGGTTATTTCTTTATCACTTGGAGATATTTTGGGAGTCAGTGATTGGTTGTCAGCCATCAATACCTACATGGCTAAAGAGAAGTATCTTGTATATCTGCTCCAGTAGTGGGGCAGATATACAAAAGTTATGCCCTTTTGACCTATTTGTGTATGGCCTTTTTAATGATTGTAGGATGCATTTGCAGGAACTATAAATATATACATAAATTCCATATTGAGGGGAGTTTTCATTTTTATACTCAGATTTTTATCAGTTTGAAGGATATAATGCTTTTTACTGTTCTAAGGGAAAAATAGAGTAGGAACTTCTAGTCACCACTTCAAGATATTAATTGAATAATCATTCTTCATTCTGCTTGACTTCATGGGTCGTGACTCCAGCAGATGGAGTCAGCAGTTGGCACCAATATTGATGACCCTTTTTTTTTTGAGCTGTCCATATCCAATCTGCTTTGGGGTTATTTCTCCAATTCCTGTGCTTTGGAGGAGGAAGAGAAAAAAAAAAGTTGGATTCCTGGAGAGCACATGTTGCAGACTACACACATGTGTAGGACCTTTGGCAGAGATTCAAATATTCTGAATTTCACCTAAATTCCTGTGCCTCTAACTTCCTCTTGCTAGGTGTTTCTGAGGGCCAATATCAAACAAAGAGAAAACACAGCGAAGTACAGGGACACAAATGAGATGTAGACTCATTGTATCTGTACCAGTTTTTGTTTGAAGAATGTAGTAGAATGAGGTGGAGGTTACAGAATCGGTCCTAATTTAAACCTGGTGGCAAGAGTTAGAGGAAAAAAAAACCTGATCCTGGTCTGGTGTCAGCTGAAGTCAGTGGGAATATGTCCATTGACTTTAGTGCACACCCGATTAGGCCTTGGGAACAGCTAGAGAATTAGCCGGGAGTAAGGAATAACAGATGACCAAATGTATGTATTATTGAGTGATGGATACATCATGAAAGTAATCTGTCTTGTGTTTCTACCACCCTGAAGTGCAAATATCTCATTACACTCAGAAAGGCCTTTCTTTCTGTGATTTCTCTGCAAAATAAATAAGGGAATATCTTAATTACATCTGCCAGATAATATCCATTAATATCTACATTAATACTATAAAATCAACAAGCATGAATGATCATTTTAGTGAGTTAATCACATAACGTCACTGTGTATATTGAATGTACTAGAATAAGAAAAACATCTAAAAATAAAATAACCTAGTCTTATTAAATATACATACTCAAGACCAGTCTTTTAATGGTGTTAACTCATGGGATTTTAACCCCTCAGTTTGTTGTTTTGGATGCTGTATCTTGTAGCAGCTGCTGACTTAATGGCACCATTTAATTCAAAGTGCTTTGATGTTATCATATGTCATTCAGTTTGCTGTTGGAATGGCTTGAGTCAAAAGGGCAGATATAGTAATAGCAGGTAAAACCTGTGCAGTTCTACATCTCAGCTTTCCTTTATGAAGGATTTCCTACATAAGCAAAGACAAGGACCAGATGACCTAATAGTCTTGTCTACCTTTAACTTCAGTGATTTAACACTGCAGAGTCATGATGCTTAATGTTTTAAGCTCCATTAAGGGAAGATTATTCTAAACTTTAACTTCTGAAGGACTTTGCTTCTATATCCATAGACTCACATATCCATGCACAGAAGCGTGCAAAATAAGCCCTAATACTGCCATAACTGTGTGCGCAATTGCAATGATTGCATGTGGAAATTACAGAAGCGTGTGCTATTATGAGAAGCATGGTCCAGATTCCTACACAATAGTACTGCATTATTAGGCACTGACATAAGTTAATTCTCGTACTTTTAACCCCCCCCCCCCCCGCCCCAAGAAAAGAGTTTCAGTTCTGAACCTGTATTCTGCCTCAACCTGTTCAGCTTCACTCTCCATCAGTTACCAAAACCTTTTGACCTCACATGTATGAAACTTGCCATGCTACTGTCTCTTATTTCCCATCTAATAGTTGTTTGTAATAAATGCCCTGCTGGTTATCCTGTTTCTGTCCTGAGCATCCTAATTAACCACCAATTCATTACTTAAGAAGCTACAGCCATCTCAGAATGGCAGGATGAAGGATCTCGTTCACAGTAACAAGGGAAGCCCTATTATAATCAATGCTGTATAAGTACAGAATTTCTTTGTATGTTCCACTGTGTGCGCACTCTGATACTTTTTTGGACGGAGACTTTCTCTTTTTTTCTGAGGTGGAAATAGCAATTACTTGTAACCAGGGAGATTTGGAAGTTGCGAGGGATTTTGGGAGTAGCTTACTTGGAGACAGACTGTGAGATTTAAGTGGCTCATTGACCCTCTGAATTAGCCTATAAAGAAGAATTCTTTCTCCTGGTGTTAGACCTCAGAAATGTTTTTGGACAGATGATCAAGATTAGAAAAGCTTTTAATACTATCAGTTCAGACACCAGTCTAGGTGTGCTGTTTTTAAACTGAAATTTGCAGGCAAAACTTCTGTAATCTTTTGCTAACTGTTCTGAAAGACATACGTACTGTTGGAGAGCAGAAAGGGTTAAGAGTTGTATTTTGACCATAATAAAAAGACATTATTTTGAAGCCTGTACAAATCCCTTTCTGTCTCTGGAATAAGAGAAATCTGCTAAAAAGCAGTGAAATTGTGATTGAAATCTTGTTCTCCTGGGACAGTGTCTCTGCATCCTTTTGTGAGCATTTTAAGGTTCTATATGGAGTGCAAAAAGATCATTTATTTTGAGACAGTAACAGTCCTGACTTCTCTGAAAGTAAGCCTCCTCCCTCTCCATCTTTGTGCTGTCAATTAAGATGTTGGTTATATTATCTAATGTATTCAGATACTCCTGAAAGACCTGGCTGGACATTTGCACTTAAACTTGATTGACATTTGACTTGTGGGACTAGAGGAAGCCTCACAGATTGGTTAGATGATAAAATTCATCACTAGAAGGGTGAGTGTTGATTGAAACACTCCTATTGATTCAGTCCCCTGATGTGAATCATTGTCAACCAAAAAGGGGAACGTAGCAGGTAGTTCGGAGTGGCATTAGAACCAAAGCAGCCATAAGTCGATATGGTCCACTAAAAATATTCAAGTTATTTTTTAAAAGAATGGGAGAATGTTGGCAGGAATCAATCCTTAAGAGCCTGGTTATTTTCAGGATCTCTCTTTTGTATTGAAGTTCTTGTTGAACTCTATCACCGTTGCTCCTGAGTAACCCCTTTAAAAGGATGATAAAGTGTGTCTTTATTTGGCAGGTTTTGCCTTTATTTTTCCCCACAGTATTTCTTGTGGTTACTCCTACATTCTCACCACTCCAGAAATAAATTAATCTTAGCACTTGAAAACTAATTTGTTTTCCTCAAAATATTGTATTTTAATTTCAAATTCAGATGAGCAAATGTGATGACATGATACGTCCTATGTTAACTACTGTTGGGAAAGGTCTACCTCCTGATACCAAGCCAAACCTGAAAGTATGTTCTGCTTTGCAGTAACTAGCTTTATTTACTGATATCTAAGGACCCTTCATGGTCTGAACTGTGTGGAATTCTATAATGAAGCAGAAATTCCATTCTAGAAGAAATTTTTAAGAACAATATTCAGTTTGGCTTTTTTGGGTAATGCTCATTACTTAAAATTAAGAAAGTGAGATGGAATTTAATTACTCACAGATCTCCATTATGGGAATTTTTTTTGACATTTTAAGCTGTTGCTTCACGTAAATCCCTGCCAGCTTCCCAATCCATGGCTCTTTTATTTTTTGGACAGTAAGTACAGTAGAATAACCAGTTTCCCAGGAGGGCAGGCAGAGAACGTTTCTGAGTTTCCTGGGCTCCATGCAAAGCCAATGATTGAGTCTTTTTTTTTTTCTCTTGAATGAACACAGTATTCCCCTTGACTGTGCAAGTTCCCTTTCCACATCCTCACTTACTTCTTTCACACCTTCCTGTTTGGAAACTTTCAGCATTTGGTTGCTAGATATCTTCTACCCTTCCACAACTACATATAAAAGGCTAGTATCTACAGCTCTTAGCAGAGCCGAGTTCTTTATGAGAACTGGGCATCTGATCACTGAGAGCTGTTTAAAAATCCACTGACATACAGAATAGATGATTGTGTGGGGTGTGTATGACAGCAGAAGAGACGGGAGTTTTCAGAACACTTAAGCAATTTATAATACACATGTAGATAGTTTTTTTGCCAGTTGCTAATTAGCTAATCTGTTTGAGGTAATACTATAATTCTTATTTTCTCACAGCACGGCAATAGGGGTAAATCAAGCAAGGTCATATGTCTTCCTAAATGTCCTGGTTACACGTGGCCAAGGTTTCTTTCCAGCATGCAAAAAAGTATGTTTTCTTTAGGCTTCTCCTTCACCCAAGCCATCAGTTGGCCACAGGTAGTCAGGAGGTTTGACAGAAAGTCAAATGACAGAAAGTCATTTTCCCGTTGTGGTTGAATAGATTCAATAGGTGCAAAGAATTGAGTTTTAATTGTCTGCCACTCTCTGCTTTTGTGGTTAAGCAACAGTGTTTGAAGAATGTTTTAATTAGTGAACCTGCTTGCATTAAATGTCCTAATTTACAAATACCTTTTATGATTAGTTCCCAGCTTGGCCTCCCTTTTGTGCTAACAGGCTTTTTGTGCTACCAGTTTTGTGCTATCATACCAAACAGTAATGTCATCCTTTAGGTTAAGGTGACAGGATATTTTTAAAATGTTGTAGCAAAAGTACATAATTTTTAAAGTTTAACTAACAGATATTAAACACTCTGAACTTCAGTCCCTACAAATAGGGGAGATCTTAAACTTAACGGGCCTCAGTTACTGTTTTTACTTTGGAGGTTTTCCTTTTCCTCTATCATCCTGTTGCTCTCTAGCTAAAAGGTTGGAATGGATTTTTTCAACCAGAACATTTCTATCTCGTAAAGCTTTCATTTTCTTAACTTTACTTTGCTATCAGACTTGCTTCCCTACCTTTCATTTCATTACTAATTTCAGTCAATATTCATTTGTTACTGTGTTATAACATTGAATGGAGAATTGAGCTGAGAGGGAAAAATCGTTTCATTCAGATTATTTCTCCACAGTTCCATAATGCAGTATAATATATATTATGTTAAAAACTACAAATTAAAGCATCATTAAATTTTTTATTTCTGAAGAGATTAAAAGCTTCTGAAGAAGTACGTTGTTTTAGTATGAGCTGTCTTCACTGCTGTCATATGAAAGTTAGGGAAAGTCCAGTCCAAGCTGAAAGATACCTATAATAACTTTTATAACAGATGATGCAGTAATTAATGTAAATAATAGAAAGATAAGCATCAGGTACTGAATGGAGTGCTGAGATAAAATGTACTCACAGTTGTGGTATCATGCATAGTAATATTTGATACAATAAAATAATTTCAAAATAATATGTCTTTTTTTTTTAATGTTTAAAGAAGGATTGGAACAAAAAGGCCAGCCTCCATGTCCCACAAAGAGCAAAGCAGAGCAGCTTGAGGCCCTGCAAGATGATGCTGAAGGTAGGTGGTCTGATAGCTTTTCAGAGCTATTAATCAGTTTTGCATTTTGGGGGGAAAGGTTTACTCTGAATTCTTGGGAAAGAACTGGAAAACTCTCATTTAAGAATGTTGTTTACACACACTTGGAAAGTTCCTTTTGGCCTAGATCATAAGATTGTAGTTCTTCTGAAGTGTATTTCATCTCAAGGTAGATTCAGAATTACAAATGCTATTTTTATGTGGTGGGTTACTGATTATTGCTGATGCATAATGAGAAATTGTTGGCTGTTTTATTGCTAACCTGTTCTCACTTCATGTAATTAATAACACAAAATGTAAGGCATGTTGTGCAGGGCTTGGGTCATAGTCTGGTTAGTTAAGTTGTCCAGGTAAGTCAGCTACCTGCTGCAAAACATGGAGCAATAAAATTCTTGCTTTCCTTTTCTACAAGAAATTTTTGCTGTATCTCTTTCCACTCCAGTTATGGTGTTTATGGCTCTAGACGCTATGCAGTGTATTACATCTATCCATGGTCAGAAGTCACAGGTGCTTAACTTTATGCCTATAGTGTTGTTCCTGTAAGAGTGCTTTCCTGCACTTGAGTCTTCACAGGACACCTTGTCCACGTGTACAGAGGTAAATGTGGTCTATGTTGTTCTAAAATTGGATCAAAGTATCTTTTCTTAATCTGTATCTCATTGGGAGTGTTGTTAAAAAATGTTAACATCAAAGACTTACTTTCAGAGTGCAGGGTTTCGCGTTGCTCTCCTGTGTGTGGAAGAGCAAAATGCCCCAATGCTGGAGAATTCCCCTTACATGAAATAGTTAAAAGGATGAACCTCAATCTTTAATCCATGACAGTTCCTTATCATGGATTCTCTTTGACCTAGTGTTCCTCAAATGACACATCTTATTCTGCACCTCAACCAGTGGCTCCACGATCTTCACCATTTTGACCTAGTGCTGTGCATTCAGTTCCTAAAATATTCTGACTGGGGTATAGTGTGAGTCATAAAGGGTGGAAAAATGTTAACATCTATCACTTTAAGTAACTGCTAGTAACGTCCTGTTACTAACATTGTGACTGGTTGTTAATGGCAAGTACTTAAAGCAATAGCTGTCATCACCTGGAAGGTGTGGGGGGACCCAAGAAATCTCATCCTGACTGGTCATCTTTCCTTTCATGCTGCACTAAACCCAGCTGAAATTAAAATACCAAATTTATGTTTGGATTAGAGAATTCGGTGATGACAAACCACATGTCAATTTGTATGCAGGTTAAACGGCATGTGGGATTGTGGTGTCATTTTCCATATTCCTAAATAGGCGAAACAATAATAGTTTTTGTGATATATTTTTATATAGAGTGTGGCTAAAATCTTTCATTGTATGAGTGTCTTTTTAAAAAAAAAGGGGGGGGGGAAGTGTTGCAAAACTGTAAGGTTTTCCTTCCATTGGAAAAATAACCGATGTTGTTCCACTATTTCTGTGGCTTACTAGATACAGTTTCCTAGTTTACTATGCCTGTCGATGTTTCGTGGTGACCTACTGTTCACTTTGTGGAGCACAAACAAATGCATTGGAAGGGTGAAGTAAATAGTGTGGCAATAGAAGATTGCATTACCCTCGAGCTGTAAAATGCCTGAACTCCTTGAATTCGATGCTGTACAGTAGCTTTTGCTGATGCAGAATTGAGGCCTGTAACACATAATCACTGCTGCAGAATTTAATCTAGGCAGTGATGGAGTCGTCTTCTCCTTAGGCAGGAATCAGGCCTATAATGTTAAGGATTGAAAGTCTAAATTTAGACTTGAGGGTTGTTGTGATGGGGTGGGTGGGGGGAGGTTATTAAAGTGTTTGCTGAGGGGGGCTGGGGAAGAAACCTGGATCAGATTTCTGTGGCGTTACCTGTGCCTCTGTTTTGAAGAGGAGTCAAGCAGTTAGGCTCCAGACACTGAATTCCTATAAAGTTGCCGAGTGGCTAGAGTCTAATGTAACACACCTGTGAGCCATTTCCATTTAAGTAAATGGGATTTGCACACATTTGTCTGAGAATAGGATTTAGTTTCTACTGTTCTAATTATTAGCTGTTGGTTTTGACTAATTAAAAGAACTTTTAATGGGGAGCCTTGAAGATTGTGAAAGCTGTGAATATGTGACATGAACCAGAACTACGTCTGAGTAATTTTATTTAGGTAGGAGTTTGTCTTCACTTCCAAAAAGCTGCCTTTTTCTTTTTTTTTTTCCTTTTTCTTTTTTTAAAGAACTTCTGAGTAGCTAATGCATATGAACAGTCTCAAATAAAACACAATAAAGCCAAACTCTGCCTGAGGTCAACTTTGTTGAATTTTCCTCATGGTAAAACTGAAGTGCTTTGTGTTTAGCGTATTTTAACTTTGGCATAGTTCACATGCTCTAGGTACCTCAGGTTTAAAAAAAAAAAAAGGGCAAACAAAAAAACCCACCCCAACCCATAGCTTTTAGCAATAAAAGCAAGTCCAAAGATACTTACATTTAACATAAGATATTATTTTACCCTTGGTAACATGACCAGATATAAAATATTTAACAAATATACACTGAGGCACAGGAAGAACCAGGTATTTTTCCCTCTGCTTAGTTGTCAGTGTCCTTTTAGACTGAAGATGGGAATACAACTTGCTATTTTAACAGCCTCATGCATGCCCTTGTGGCAGTCTGTAAAAACTATTCCACTGAGTTCAGTAATATTTCTGCTGTAATATTTTTCTCCAGCACACTAAGCTGGTTCATTGGCTAGAGGTAATGGAGCAATATCTTTTCAGTGCATGTAAAAACCTCCACAGAAGATCAGGGAAAGTAGGCTCCTTCATTATTACCCTCTCTGCAATCAAGGAAAGTCAAATAAGTGGCTGTATGTAAGGAGCTTGTTTTGCAGTAAGCTAAAATAAACACTTGACGTGCTAATGAAAGCAATTCTATACTGAACCTCTAAAGTATTAATGGTGTCTGTTATTATGCTATTAGATATAGTTCTCTGCCTTCAGACCACTGATAGAGAAAAGCAAGTGTGAACTGCATAGCAGATTCTCCTGTCAATGGTTGTATTCAGTATTTTTTGCGTTGTAGCACAGGTTATTGTCTGGGGAAATGGACAGACTGGATACATGGAGAAACACTCTTTACTCCCAGGTTCCCTGCAGTATTTCAGGTTTGAGATGTGCAAACATGCAGTATAATTTTCTTTTTTTGTTTTTCTACCCACCCCCCACCCCCCCAGGTCCTGGGAGAGTAAAATCAGCCAGTGATAATTTTGCCTTTCCCCTTCTGACTAGGTGTACTCAGTGATTGAGTGATTGTAAAGTCTCAGGTGAGAAAAATATGTTTGGCACTAAACAAAACTTAGCATGTCTTACTTCAATAGCTTCCTAACACAATCCTAAAGTAATTACATAGACAAAATGGCAGTACTTGTCACAGCATAGCAGCAACGAGTTAGCACAAATGCCACAGGTCACCTGTTCTCATCCTACTGATTGTCACCAAGCAAAAGCAAACAATTTTTATAAAAGTCTAACAAAACAGGAATTTAAAATGTTCCCTATTTCTCTTAGCTACCTGCCCAAATGTCCTCCTGTATGTACTGAATAGCAAAGTGTGTGCAACAGATTTTCTCGATACTGGGAAAAGGAAAACTGTTTGGCCTTTCCTTCCTTAGAGGATTTCTCAGATATAATATGGAGCCTGCCCAAGAGCTGCCCCATCCGTTCTCACCATGGTCTGCAGGTGATCAATATTGTATCAAAGACAACTAATACATCTAATAACAGCAGCACAAATGCCTGATCTTTCTCCTCCTCCAGGAGAAAGATAATCAATCCATGCAGCAAAAGCCATTTCTGTGCCTCCTGAGGTCAGGATCTTCCTTGCCCTCCCTCGAGGGACAGAACTGGAGCTCTGCAAGTTGTCTTGCTCCAGCTTTTCTCATAAGCTTCTCCCAAAATGAATGACCAGATTCTTCCTGATAGATTGATAGGTTGTTGGTCTCATGCGATCACCTTAGCTGACGTTCAGTGTATGTGCAAGGAGCTGGTCTGTTGGAATTGCTCGTCCAGGATGAACTTTGTCTGCTTCCTCTTCACTTGGTGGGGAAGAGAACAGTTTGATGGATAAGCCAGGCCAGGAAGGTCAAAATGAACACAAATCAGCTTTAAGATAGTGGGTAGAGCTGGTTCCTTTGCCTGAAGGGGTCATCACACTATCGACCCCTTGGCTTTCAAGGGCAACTTCAAATGTCTGAAATGTTGCTTGGCAGTGTCAGGAGTCCGAGGCTCACCAGCAGGCTCCTGCCTCACTCAGTGGATGCTCTGTACATGAGAGATGTCAGTCTAGTGATTGGAGTAGACAGTAGAAATGAGGCAAAATGAAGTCACAACTTATCTCGACAACTCCTTGGTTCAGCATGTTACGGCAATTAGGTAGGATGCTCACCAAGAGGGAGACACCCTGGCTCCTCATCCCTTCTCCCAAAAAGTTTTTGTCCAATGACAAACAGTGCATAGTCTTGGGACTAGAAAATAAAACTCATTTTATGGCTTAGTCCTTTAATTGTGAGATTAACGTAAGGCATCCCCTTCCTGGTTCTCCTTTATATACCACAAATTCTGCAGCTTTTCTGCTCCCCCTAGCTTCACAGAGAGGAATACAGTGTATGCAGCCACAGAAGTCAACAGTGCTTGGTTTGTGCTGCTTTCCTCCGAGGTGGGCTTAATCTTCCCTGGGGCTGGGGTGGTGCATGCAACAGCTGCTGTGTTACCATTACACAATGATATTCAAAGCGTCTTTTCTAAGGGCTTGCTAATACTATGCAGGCTTGATTGTCTCTCTCTTTAAGGTATGGATTAATATTAACTAGATTTGACTTATGATTATTTTTTAAATGTTCCTCGGTTTATAGCAAGCAATTCTTTTATCATTTGAGAAATTGTATCTACATTTCTTCTTTGCATCCCACAGGGCAGTAATATTCTTCAGTAAGTTTC